AAATAATATTTTAATAATATTTTGAATTGTTTAAATTTTTTTTTCTTTTTACTTTCTTCTTTGGCCATGGCCGGTCGCCGTCGCCGGCCGACCGGCCACCCAGGCCGGCGAGGGCGTCACGGACCTCGCCGGCCGCCGGCGGAGGCGAGGTTGCCCTCGCCGGCGAGGGCGAGGCGGACCCTCGCCGCCCGGGCGAGGCGGCCTCGTCCGAGACGGCGAGGCTCGGCCTCGCCCGGATCGGCGAGGCCGAGCCTCGCCGTCGCGACCCAAGGTGAAGCCGACCTCGCCTGGGTCGCGACGGCGAGGCTCGGCCTCGGCAGATCTGGCGAGGCCGAGCCTCGCCATCTCTAGGCGAGGCCGACCTCGCCGTCGCGACCGACGGCAGGAGGCTCGGCCTCGCTCGATCTGGGCGAGGCCGCCTCGCCAGCGGCGAGGGTCCAGCCTCGCCCTCGCCGGCGAAGGCCGTGACGCCCTCGCCGGCCACAGGGGTGGCCGGCCGGCGCGCACAGCGGCCGGCGGCTCACCAGGGAACAACACACAAAATAAGAAATGAAAAAAAAAGAAAAAGAAGAAAAAAACTGATTCTCAAAATTGTAGAAACAAGAAGCAACTTTTTTACTTCTTGTTTCTCTTCCAAAATGTTTCTCGGCACAAATTTTTGCAAAAATGTGCCGAGGAACAAAAGTTTACCAAACGCATTTACTCCCAAACTATTTAGGGAACAAAAAACGAAATTTTCACTATTTAGCACGTTACCAAACGGGCCCTAAGTGATCTTTTTTCAAAATTTTGGCACTTAAATGATCCAAATAAAACTTTTGGCACCAAAGTAAGGCTCGTCACAACTTTTGGCACCAATGCTGTTCCCCCCAGCAGGGAACACATCGGACCTTCTTCTAGGTCACCATTTAGCACAGCGTTCTCTGCAAACAACAGGACAGCAAATTATGCCAGGGCATGAATGTGGTGGACTATAGGTTTTTTGATGCTTCACAATAGCAAATGAGGATGTAAAACAGAAACGGCGACCTCGTTGCTAGGACTACGAATTAGAGAAACTTAAAATTCTTCTTTTCTCTCTTCATAAACAAATGTTTATGAAAACAGGAAAAAAAAGTTTCCTCTGTTCTGCTAAACCTGAAAACTAAAGCAAGTTGCTCTGTCAAAAGAAGTTTTTCTACCCTAAGATAAGCATGTTCTTCACATATCTACCAACAAAAGATATAAATGCTCTATGGTCAATATACACAGGACAGAACACATCACTCTCTCCTTTTCTGTAGATGACGTTTTAACGATTGCTCACTCGGGATGACGAGTAACATAAGTTTGATGATATAGTTGAAAATAGGGTGAAATGTTACAATAAACTCGTGAGATCGGGTAAATACTAAATGCCATTCTATTTCTAAAGCAAAGACGACATTAGCGCCTTTTCATGTAAGCGTGCCTTGGTCACTATTCATTTGAAGTTCCTTAATCTGGAAAGGATTTTCTTTCCCTTAAGTGGTACCAAGTGCAAGAAACACTTTGAGTTTCCAGAGTGTTCAGTGAAAATTAATTGCACAACGTGGAACTTTCATTCAGAGGAATAGTGGTCTGAACAAACAAGGGGGACAAATGACTAAATGCTACTTGCCCTACTGATCAGAGGACTAGCGATCATGGAAAGAGCAGGGACAAAATTCAATGCAGAATACAATCAAGGAAAATCGTGGTTGTTTCTCATCCCAAAATTCAATTCATGAAACCCAAAGTTCACTTGCTTAAGCTTTTCTCGTCCTAAAAAAAGATGTTTATAAAAACAAACATGTGATTTATTGCCCTACCTCTGCGAAACCTCTACTTTTCTCATTGAACGTTTACTTTTTTAAAAAATAAAAAATAAAAAAGAGTGTAGATATGTTTCGCTCGACATTGGCTCTCCTCAAATAGTAAGTCGACTATGACAATGGAAATTACCTCGCCTCACAGACGACTTGACAATGGAAATCACCTCGCCCGTGACTCATGTTTTCTAACATAATATCACGGGTCACTTGTGCTTCGATATGGACAAACGATTGTGCACCGAGAAAGAAACGATAAATTGATGATTGAGTTGTAATACTAAAAACAAACATGTGAGTTATTGCCCTACCTTTGGGAAACCTCTACTTTTCTCATTAAACGTTTACTTTTTAAAAAATAAAAAATAAAAAAGTGTGTAGATATGTTTCGCTCGACATTGGCTCTCCTCAAATAGTAAGTCGACTATGACAATGGAAATTACCTCGCCTCACAGTCGACTTGACAATGGAAATCATCTCACCCGTAACTCGTGTTTTCTAACATAACATCACGGGTCACTTGTGCTTCGATATGGACAAACGATTGTGCACCGAGAAAGAAAAGATAAATTGATGATTGAGTTGTAATACTAATCAAATGAATTCATTGATGACAGCATTTATTTTCAAAGAGCAAGAGCAAGTGTTTGATTGACAAAAGTAGATGAACGACTGGGATGGCTGTAAATAAACCGTTGGAAATGACAGGAAATAAAGAGTACGAAATTAAAGGATATTGTCATGACGAGTGCACGTGACTAGCGTCCCACTGATCACTCTGGTCTGCCTTGACTCGCCCCGATCTAAAATCTTCCCTTCGGCTCAGTCAATGTCCGTGGTCGATTTTGAGTGCCAACAGGATATAAAAAAGGAAGTAAAAATATACAAAAGAAAAAGGGTTAATGCTACAAAAAATCTCAAGTTGGTGTACTTATGACAAATTTATCAAAAATTAATTTTTTTAACAACGAAAAATCCCAAACTGATATATCTGTAACAATTTTACGATCTGTTAGTTTCCGTTAAATTTTACCGACAAATTTCTGAATTGGATGACACGTGACAGTTGACGGGTGTACCGATTTGAGGTTTTACCCTCGGTATATCACAGATATACCATTTTGTGATTTTCGCGATATTAATCCAATTTAATGGAATGTAAAATTGTCATAAATATATAAGTTTGGGGTTTTTGATAGTCAAAAAATTAATTTATGGTAAATCTGTCACAAGTATACCAGTTTAAGGTTTTTTATTGTCAAAAAATTAGTTCATAGTAAATTGGTCACATGTGTACCAGTTTCGGGCTTTTCATGGTATTAACCCAAAGGAAAATATAGTGCAATAGAAAACAAAAGATGTACGAATACAAAATTTCCTATTTACATTTTATATTTACGTTGGCGAATATGTGGAATAGGAAATATATCTTTTATTACGATGCAGATTTGTTATAAGTAGTACAATCTTTGAACATTTCCACATACTGGATAAAGTCAACCGTATTATTAAGGCTGGGTAAAGTTATATCGATAATTAAATGGTATCTTGCACTCAACTAGGCCCAAGAATATCAACATCACACATCATTCTACACAAGTCAACACTTGGTACTAGAGCACCTTCTACACACCATCCTAGGGGTGGGCAAAAAAAGAAACACTCGGCACGGCCGGTTTTGGGTGATCCCGGGAACACTGGTCCGGTTCTCAATTCATTTCTATCTTAAATTGTGAACATCCTAGCCGGTTCATTTACGTCTTAGATTGTGAACAGCCTAGCCGATTCGTTTCTGTTCTACTCATTTTTGTTTTTCTTTCAGTCATGTTCTTGCTCCTTCGGTTTTATAAATACGGTCTCTACCTTGTCTAAAATCAATCTCATAGAAGAGCATCATCTTGCAGTACTAACTGCTATCGATGAAAACCGGTAGTTCATGTTAATGAACAGAAGATAGAAGACTGCGATGACTTTGCAAGCCAATAACATTGTGCAAGAATCGGTTCCATTGGTCCACCCGAGAACCAGACCGCTCGGAAATCGACCACCCCCACACCATGCCATCTGACAATAAAGCTTGTTTGATAATTCAATTAGGATTTAATTCTGAAGACTCCATCAAGTAAAAAATTCACTTAAAGTGGTAAGTAAAGAGGGGTCTAATTTATTCGGCAGAAAATAATAATTAATGGCAACTAGAATCCTACCAAACATGCTACTAAACCCAACCGATAAATTAATCATTATTCTATGTTTAGTAAGAAAACTATGATATTCGGGTATCAATTTTCAATTATCATCAAACTTACCTTTTATTCTTATTGTGAGCACTTAAGATTATCAACGCTAAAATCAGAATTGAAAGTTTCTAACACTTTTCTTTCATTTGTATAAAAATTTATTTAATTGTGAAAAAGGTTTCGCTCAACAATCAATTCATCCATATCTTTCTGAATTATTTGGGAAAAAGCCATAAAAAACCTCAAATTATGCCCTTTATGAAGCATTTACCATAAACTTTTTTATGACATAAAAAACCCCCAAAGTATGTGCACTCTCACACATTTATTCTAAACTTTTTTTTGTGACATAAAAAATCCTAAACTTGTACCTACGCGACACATTTACCATCTGTTAATATTCTGTTATATGATTTTTCAACCAAAACAAGTCGTTTTTATTTCACTTAAGCCACGTGGACGTAATGTCAATATCGTTTGCTTTCCAGCGTCTATATAGGCATATTTTTATCGATGTTTATTGACGAAATCTTGACGGAGAGTAAATATATCACACATGTACAAGTTTGAGACTTTTGATTTCACAAAAAAAAGTTTAGGATAAATGTGTGTCACATTAAGCATAGTTTCGATTTTGTGGTGGTTTTTTGACTAATTGTTTCGGTTACTTTATATCATGTGCAAGCCCACGGGATCCACAAGCCTCTGGAGACAAGCACCGGACTAAAGCTTATCTCATTCTCATCTCTTTGCAAGTGAGAGTATCCGCAATCATCAGGTGCATTATGTTCAACTAGTAATTTTGAAGAGGACAACAAGATTATGAAGCTCGTTGGGCAGTCACGTCTTCTTGATTTGGTTGTTCATTAAAGCCATTTTGTTGAGTAAAGCAAACATGGATATAAAGTTTGATTTGAAGAAAGATAGACACTGAAAAAATCACATATGATCTCAGCATTGCTCCAAGAGGTGCTGCTCACTGCATATGACATATGATTCAGCCATAATTTCGGTCATCAACATAGGAAGAGTAACCGGTCAGTGCTTAGCAAAACCACGTCTTATCACTGCTCGAGCTCTAGGCTCCGCCAAAGAGCATCGAAGTACGTGTTAACTACCATGCATAACTTTAGAACAAAAGCTAACTCCAATCTCGCATACAGCATTTAAACCGGGGAATTCGGTTTCACCAAACCCCTCATTACCTTTACCAGCCATCGCAGCGAATGCACCCACCCTGAACTGTCTAATAGAACTTAAGAAAAGACGAGAAGAAGCGCCCACCATCCAAGCCCGACAGCCAAAGTGAATCCTGCATTCGCATTCCTGCCGGCCCGGGAAAACCACACCCGCACATCATCCACCACCGGCCCGCAGAGTGAGCTCATGTCGTCACTCCTCGTGTTGTAGTACACGCTGTAGAACGCGATTCGCGTCCTCTCGGCCTTGGCCGTGAAGTTGACGCTCGCAGTTTGGAACGTCGAGTTCGAATTCAGGGTGTAATGGATGTTCTCGGCTTGATCCCCGGCAAATGCCATCACAGCAAGCGGTTGTTTGCACTTGTCACCAGCGTGGCCCAAGGCGAACGATAGGGTGTAATCTTTCTCGGGCTTCGTCTCGACCATTTGGGAGATTATGCCTTCCTTTCCTGAAAGGAGCTCGATAGCCCGCTTGCCCTGCGGAACTGAGAAATGGTAGGAGTCGATGTAACGAACGGCCCGGTTGGACTCAACGTTCCAGCCAGGTAGGGAAGAGGTGTCCTCGTCGAGGTTGGTGGGGAGTAACACCCCGAGAGATGTGTTCCGGAACATCCACGGACCTTCTTCTAGGTCACCATTTAGCACAGCGTTATCTGCAAACAACAGAACAGCAAATTATGCCAGGGCATGAATGCGGTGGACTATAGGTTTTTTTATGGCAATGTGTAGAAAAAACAAAAACGGCGACCTCATTTCTAGGACTATGAATTAGAGAAACTTAAAATTCTTCTTTTCTCTCTTCATAAACATCTTTTTATGAAAACAGGAAAAAAAAAAATTTCCTCTGTTCGGCTAAACCTGAAAACTAAAGCAAGTTGCTCTGTCAAAAGAAGTTTTTCTACCCTAAGATAAGCATGTTCTTCACACATCTACCAACAAAAGATATAAATGCTCTATGGTCAATACACACAGGACAGAGCGCATCACTCTCTCCTTTTCTGTAGATGACGTTTTAACAATTGCTCACTCGGGATGGTGAGTAACATAAGTTTGATGATATAGTTAAAAATAGGGTGAAATGTTACAATAAACTCGTGAGATCGGGTAAATACTAATGCCATTCTATTTCTAAAGCAAAGACGACATTAGCGCATTTTCATCTAAGCATGCCTTGGTCCTAATTCATTTGAAGTTCTTCATCTGGAAAAGATTTTCTTCCCTTAAGTGGTAACCAAGTGCAAGAAATACTTGGAGAGTGTTCAGTGAAAAATTAATTGCACAACGTGGAACTTTCATTCAGAGGAATAGTGGTCTGAACAAACAAGGGGGACAAATGACTAAATGCTACTTGCCCTACTGATTAGAGGACTAAGCATTCATGGAAAGTGCAGGGACAAAATTCAATACAGAATACAATCAAGGAAAATCGTGGCTGTTTCTCATCCTAAAATTCAATTCATGAGCCCCAAAGTTCACTTGCTCAAGCTTTTCTCGTCCTCAAAAAGATGTTTACATTCGGTTTTACAAGGTTTTCAAGCTTTTTTTTAGCTAAATACATTGGCCCTTGACTATCCATAAAAACAAACATGTGATCTATTGCCCTTTGTAAAGAGGAATGAAAATAGCAATGACCTTCAGTTGCTTCTCAGTAGGACCTTGCATGCAAGTTCCTAGTTTGAATTTAGTATTATATCCTGTGCAGATGAGTTTGGTATTAAAGATCTTAAAATTGTGAGAACCCCCAAAAACATTTTGTTTTCTTTTCTTTTTTTTCCTTTTTTCTTTTTGTTGTTTGAAGTTTCAAAAGCAAAAGACTTTTGTCCAGGAAAGGGAAAACGTAGTACAGAGGAAAAGCATTCACTGTACTAGATTTTGAGCATTCCTAAGCAAAGGCCCAAATTTCTCCAATCTGGGTCCACAGATTGACCATGAAATGAATCCAATGCGCGTGTATGGGACCCAGTGCAAGAAAAGAAGTAACAAGTTCTTTTACCTTTGGGCCGATCGGGAGAGAAAAGCTTCTTGATCGCGATGTCGTCGATGATGGGCCCGCACGTCGGGTCATCCTCCATCCCGGGGTTCCTGAACGCCAGCCTCACCTTGTCGTCCAGGGCCTCAAAGGCCCACGCGTACGGGTCCCACCCCTGCACGCTGTACAGAGTCTGCAGGTCGATGGTCTGCGACGCCGTCGGCGGGACCGACACGTTCAGCGACTCGAGCTGCGCGCACGTGCGGGCCGCGCTGAACGTGACGGAGTAAATCGACCCCTTCTCCACCGTCAGCTCCTGGCTGATCTCGGCGTCATTGCCCAGCCTCGCCGCGTGTGTGCCCTCCGGCACGATGAGGATCATCCCACCCTGCTTCTGCCCCGACTCCACGAGCTCGACGGTGCCATTTGTCTTCCACCCGGGGATGGTTGCCGGGCCATCCGACATAACATCACTCGCGAAGCCGCCCGATGGGGGTGTCTCGAAGTCACCGTTCGTGATCAAGCCTGGAGGATATCGACCAAAGGTAATGAGCAAGTGATAGTCAATTTGGTTCAGCGTCACAATAGTAGCAGTTTCATTGTACATCATATACAAAACATTGATACCCTTATTTTCTTGTGTCACAACCAGGATGGATTTATTGACCAAATTAAGATCAAATTGGAATTTGGTTGGAATTTCATCAAAATGAAACTGACCATAGAGTGGAAGGAGTTAGAGAATTCGATTAAATGAACATATTTCTAGTGGTGTTATGCAAATCATATTAGCTAATGATATACTTCATGTTTATTTATTTTAATTGAAAAATTCGAAACTGCATTATTTAGAATGAGGGTCTAATTTAATTATCAAATGCAACAAAAATATTAATAAAAAGAGCTACAAAAATTGCACTTATTCATGAAACAAAAATCTAAGTGAAAAATAAAGGAAGCAAAGCTAATGTTTCATTGTCAGGGAGATTTTGATGGCCATAAGACCAGCCTGTTCCTCTCAAACAAGGGGACAAAAGAAGTGGCACTGTTTAAAGCGTTCAGATCACACCAGCATACACTACAAAACAATGCACAGACTACGAGTAAATCCAATGAAAAACAATGCTAAGATTCCCCGCAGCTTCTGCTGTCTTGTCGTGAAGATCATGTAACTTCACGGTTCATTTTTACCGTTATCCTAAGTATGATATGGAGTGCACTAAAATAGCATGGAAGATTATATGGAGGAGTACTACATGTCGAAACTTGCATATTCTTGTTTTGAAAGATTTTAAATGTTCTGGAATGAAAAAAAAAGGAAAATGAAAAAAAGCTACAGAATTTGAAAAAAAAATTGATATTATAAAAATGAAATAAAGATTTCACAGCGCATGTTTAACCCAAATATCAATTTCACGAAACTAAGGTGACCCAATAGGATGATACAAATAGCCTCTGAACTTGGATCCAATGTGCAACATAGTCCCCAAACTTTTAATTTTTTCAATACAGTCCATGAACTTTGGTAGATATTCAACTTAATCGATAAATTAAATGAAAAAGTTCAATATTGTCCTTCCATCAATTCAAGTTCATGGACAATACATAGTCCGGGGACGAAACTAAATACGTACTAAAAGTCCAGATATCAATATTGCATATTGAGTTATCGTTCATGAATTATATTGAGCAAATTAATAATTTAAGAACCATTCATGTATTTTCGCTAACCTAATAATATGAAAAAATGAGGGAAATAAAAGGAAAAACCGAAGAGTAAACAACAAAAACGAAAAGGCGGAGGTACTGATAAAGGGCGACACGCGCTGCTCATATACGACAAAAGCGGTGGTGCGGTGCGAGCCACGGCGTCAACTTCGTGGGGCCCAACGGCGAGTACACTTATCTATTCGGGCCCCGCTCTTCTTCAATTTCACAGTCAAGCCCCGCTTTGACCGACAAAAAGGTAAGCAGCTCGCCCTTATCACGGACCATCATCGGTTCACTCTTCTCAAGGTTGAATATTTTTGGGGACATTAATTAATAATTAATATAAATAATGAAAATGTGAAAAAAAAACCTAAAAAAAAGGATCAAAAATCGTCGGATGCCATGGAGCTTTGCGGAAAGTCACATTGGTTTTGTCAATTTAGAAAAAAGGAGCCTCTTATTTTGGCGGGAAGTGTCTTTTTTCCCTCTCTTTTTTCTCTTTTGAGAGAAGAGAGAAACAATACATAATTTTAATTCTAAATGTAATTTGGTACATGTACACATCTATTGGAGAAAATGTCACAAACCACACAAGATCCTACTATAGTTTATATTTATGCACTTCACATGTTAATGTACTTCGTCATTGGTCATAAAATCAACCAAAACCCTTACCTAAGTCTGTCAATTGGGCAAATGATCGGACCTAGACGGGTCTAACCAGGTAAATCTGAACTAAGGAAGAGAATAGATTGGCCTAGACCTGCTCATTAGCACATAGAACTCGGGCCAGCTGACAAGGCACTACGTGACATTTCATAGCTTATGTAGCTTAAGGACCGCACATATGATTCCTAGAATCATCATTTCATTTCTACTCAAGATTGTCACTTAATGCCAAGACTAGAGGACTATAACATGGATCTCTGAGGTGAGCCTATGGTACCTCGCGAACGTGCCTCCACAGATTTTCACCATTCGATTTTGCGCTCGAAAGGGGATCTAGCAAAATGTGCTCTTAGACAAATAGCCATTAAAGATTGCCGAGTGAAAATGCAAATATACTAAAAAATGCATTAAAACTTGGTTTTCTTTTTCCGTTAATGATATTGCCAAGAGTGTACAGAGGTTGGACCAAACATAAATATGTTGCTGGTGAGTCCCCATTACAACCATTTAATGAAATAATTCGATGCGTGCGAACCTTATTGGTGGTCCTCCCATCCTTTATAGGGGCGTGGGGTCGACTGTGACACTAAAGTCACATTAGTGCGCCCTAGCGAACACGTAGACTTCAAAAAATAAATTTCTTGGAACATGGTGAAACGAGACATTTTTTTAAAAATAAATTCAACAAATTCGATCTGAATTTGAGAGACGCGCCAAACTTTTCTGAATGAATTACTTTCTAGTCTTTAGGGTAATTATATAGCCTATGACTTTTAATTCCTATCTTTCTAAATTTAATTGGTTGTAGGTCCAACCAGTAGACCCATATAATATGATTTGTGGGCCCACATCGATTTAAATTTCTACAATTAGAATTATAAAACAGTGAACACGGCTAGGAGAGAGAGACCTAAAGGGAGAGTACGATAAAGACACAGTATTTGTGCCTTTTGCCGTGGTACGACGCCGTTTTTTATTTGTAAATCCTGCTTAAATTAGATTCTACCATCCAGAAATTAAACTCAAAAATATTTTCTTTGAGGTAATTTTAGAAAAAAACATCAACTTTACCTTGCGACAATACTGAGCTAAACTTGTTTTGTCTCAATAAAAAGTGTCAACTTTTACTGAAATTTCAAATCTGACCCGAATAATTTGAAAATTTCACATTACAGAGGCCAGATTTGAGACTTGAGTAAAAATTGATGCTTTTTATTGAGACAAAAAAAAATTCGGGCTAAAATTGTCACTCAATATAAGGTTCGTGCCTTTTTTTGGAATTAGTCCTATTTTCTTTTTCCTATAAAAAAGTCAAAATCCAAAATGCAAGGACCGGCCGTCCTTGGATACCAACGCAACCTGGCAAAGATTCCCGTTTCTTTATTTTTTTTATCAAAGTCATTTCTATCTCTTTTGCCTTAGGTTCTCAAGAAAAAAGATAATAAAACAAGAACAAGAGAAATAAATACAGAGAAATCGTGTAAAATGCAAGCTGGTGAGCATAAAAAAATCGTCAAGAAATCACGGCGGAAGCACCTTTCCAGCGAGAGACCCAGTTCGACATCTGAACTGGGTGGAACCAAAGAAAGACAGAACGGTAACTAAAACAGCAAATCTCACGACAAGAATCGCAACTGCACATACGAAGGAATCAGACAATGAGGAACAGATCGGGCACACAGCATAACACAATGGCAATGGCAATGGCAATGTGATTCAGAAATCGAGAGAGAGTACCATCTTCGGCCACGATTCCAGGCAGCTGATGAGCGAAGAGAAAGAGAAAGAGCGAGACCCATCTGATTTTCTCCGACCTTCCCACCATTTCCACCCCTCTCTCTCTCTCTCTCTCTCTCTCTCTCTCTCTCTCTCTCTCTCTCTCTCTCTCTCTCTCTCTCTTCTGTGAGTAGAGTGGGATTGGGAGTGAGAAAACGAAGGGGGAGAGGACGCCCTTTTATCCAAGATTCTGGTTCAGTAGCCTTCGTTTCGCAAAGAAAAAGACGACAACTTTGTTTGGAGTACAACCAAATCAACTTTATTTGCTTTCTGTCGTAAATTAATGAAGAAAGCAAGGTTGTTCTGGACATTTTTTAATTGATTATTGTTTGATTTTTCGAGGTATAGTGGAAAGGAGAAAAAGGTCATTGTCAGTGGTTGCAATGTCCGAATTATTGTATATCTTTTTTCTACTTTTTGGGAATTAAAAAAACAAACTCGACTTTAATGGTTTACGTGTTTTGGGAAGCGTGGTCTCTCTTTGGTCCGCGCGTGGGACCCGCCCACCGCCGGATCCTTGTACCCCGTACTAATTAAAGCGCTCGTGAGCTCTTTGCTTTATCATCGATTGTTTACAAAACAGATATTTCAAAAGTGATCTGCAATAGAATCATTTTAAAAGAAATAGTCCATATAACACGGTCCTAATTAGGGGGTTTATAAAAAGGTTAACGCTATAAAAAAAATCTCAAACTGATATATCTACGATAAATTTATTATATGTTAGTTTTTGTTAAATTTTACTGTCGAATTGCTGAGTTAAATGACATATTACAGTTGACAAATGTACCAATTTTGGTGTTTTATCATTCGTTTGTCACAGGTATATTAGCTTGCGATTTTTTTTGTATTAATCCAATTTAATAGAGAGTAAATTTATGAAAAATTTATTAATGTATTAATCCAATTTAATAGAAGGTAAATTTGTCACAAATGTATCAGTTTAGGATTTTTGATGGTCAAAAAATTAGTTTGGGTAAAATTATCATAGGTGTACCAGTTTAAGATTTTTCATTGTATTAACCTGTTATAAGAAGAAGATATCAATGAACTTCTATGAAATGGTTGTTATCAATGAATCGGCCTAGGGTAGGCGATACCCAAAAATCAAGCCTAATGCATTATTGCCGTAAATGTATGCCCAATATCTTAAGTAGCACTAAGCTAAGCTTTTGATGAAATAAACTTGTCCAAATCCTATATGTTCCTTAGGCTCGTTTGTCCCGATCAAGCTTTGAGAAGACCATAGGCTATCAGACCCTTTGAGTTAGGGGTGGGCATGGGGTGGGTCGGCGGTTCCTATCCTAGAACCGGAAACCGCTCACTAAGGACAGGTTCCGAAAAATTGAAATTGGAAACCACCTGTTGGTTCCATGGATCTACTCGAGGACTGGATCGTCAATGCAGTCCGATTCCCAGGTGGGTCCATGAATCCGGTTCCACTAAGTTCCACGGGACACCCAGCCATGACGTACCTAATCTCGACGACGCAAATCCGATAATAGTGGCGTTTGCTGCATTCCCCCTCCCGACGAGTTGGAGAGGAATTTCAAGCCAAAGTAAAGCAAAAAGCAAAGAACTTCCATCTCAACCAAAACCATGCCATGAACACAAAGTTTCTCCCCAGCGAGCAGCTGTAGTTATTTACCACTCCATTATAGCAGTTCATATGACAACTCAATTTTCAATAGCTAATGATGATAAATCTTCAAAAAGCACTAGAGTGGAAGTTGTGATATTAGAATACCTTGTTGTGCATCAAAACACCAACAGCATAGTCAGTTGCACGGGGCGGCATCCATGAAGATGACAAAGTCTAAAGAGAGTCATTAGATAGATACATAATCATTTGAGTGTCAGTGAAGATATATTCCAAACGGATACAAAACCAGACATTGAGAGTCGAGGCCGTGAGTCAATGGGAGTTGAGCTTGAGAGGCGAGGCCATGAGTTGAGAGATGAAGACGGAGAGACCGAGATGAGAGTGAGACACTGAGAAGAGAGAGAGTGGAGACCAAGACGAGAGTGAGACAATGAGAGTTTGAGACGAGATGAGCGAGTTTCAGATTAGGGCCTTTAGGATTTTCATTTTTTTAAAAATTAAATATAATATATATAAACACACACGTATACACATACTGGTCCGGGTGGATGGTTCCACACCTACTACCCACCGGTTCTAGGCCGATCTTGTCTGGTTCCTGCTGATTCCCAGTTCCTTTGCAAACCCCTACTTTGAGTGTCCAATGGACATAGGTTTACCTAAATTGATTAATGCCAACTCTGGTTTGGCGTTTGAGTTCATAACTGTATCTTGATCCCATATATTACTCGAACCTAGGATTTGAGAGAATTCTAGGGACCAAGATGTTACTAGCCAATGACCCTTTGGTTTGCAAGTTTAAGGTGCTATACATTGGCGACTCCACAGGTGATGCTAGAAATGACATAGAGGGTTCGAATCGCGTTCGACTCTTTTGGTGGGCAAGGCAAAGAGGACCCGCCTCTCATGCAAGCCGAGGAGGTTTTGGTTAATGTCCCCCCTGTAATATCCGAGGAAGAAGAGAGCTCCACAAAAGGCGTTTGACCAAAATGGAAGAAAAGCTGAAGGACATTTTAAGGGGCCAATGAATTCGCCAAGCTAATTGGTTTAGAGATTGGATTATTCTTTGATAAGGAAATTCTTGAGAAATTCAAAATACCTGAATCTACAAAGTATGAAGGGACCGGATTCCCACTCGTCCATCTTACCGTATGGGGTAAAGTGTTAGATGTATGCCCTAAAGTTACCATGTAATAGTTACATGTTAGGGATTTAAGTTGTACTTTCAATTACATTTTTTTTAGTTTATTTAATGGCAATGACGTATTCATTCATTTGTCCAATTATTTAAATATATGAATAATTCCATAAGATCAGTTGTGACTGAACCTGTATTTGAGACGTTAAGAATATTGTGACAGGTTCATAGTTAGACTGAATCTTTAAATTGTTCCCGGTCGATGGATCATTGAGTGGATATTAATGATCGTGTTAAGACCGGTGTGTTCGTAACTTCACCAATAAGTATTGGATACTTAGGAGAATGACGAGTCACGAGTCATTGGATATTGCAATACTCGAGTTAGAACACAGGTGCTTGCATTAGACAAGTTCACTGAACGTGACATGCATAGAACGATTAGCAACATGGAAGCTTTTAGCGTGATCAATGTCTAATCGTTCTGCTCTGGTCTTGTGTAAATAATCCTTAGACCTGAGGTACAGTATTGACTTATATGTTAGACGGCTCTGGTTCACAGGTGCGCATATTGCCGGTTCGTTGATCCGTCTCTATACTTGATGGCCATAGTTCGTTCACATACAAAGTTACACGTGTGCGCAAAATGGAATCTGTCTCCTTGTTACATGCAAGGTACAATAATGATGTCCTATGCGATCTAATCTTGACACTGCAATTAAAATTCTCGGCCGGGGTTGTAACCGAGAATGAACTGTTCATGTCTCATATAAAATGCATGTCAATTAGGTCTGTGCATATGATTGAATTAGTGGCTTGACAAATATTCCATTGTCTTTGTTCGATCGGGACATAGTAAGACAGAGGGATTGAATGACACTGTAGCCAAAGCTAATAGGTTCATTATGTTCTTAAAGCATTCACACTGTCTGGGTAGTCATGACATATTGCTAGATGTCAATAATGGCTTGTAGGACCTAGAGGTTGATTGGGACAATCAATTCTCTTGGGAATACTAATGTGTTAGTGTAAGTTTTACTACTAGCTCAGTGATGAACCTAGGGATGTTACACACCATAATCAATTCAGGGTGACGTTGAATGGGAGATGTGATATTGCAAATATGTTTGCAATTATAGAAATCGATTAGTCATATTGAAATTAAATTAAATGTGATTTGATTTAATTTTATTTTAGTCATAAGCGTGCGTGCATATGATGCACACACAAACCTAAAGTGGACACATGTTAATGTGGCAAATGATCTTGCACTCTTAAATATATGAAATTATATAAATTAAAAGTGTACACGATCAACATTTGTTGACCATGTGCAGCACACGATCAGCTCCTTGCTAATCATGTGTATTTTAATTTTAAAATAATAATTAATTAATCGTGAATTACCCACAATCAACAACGGTTGCTGACCATGGGAATTCCCCACGACCAACAACGGTTGCTAGTCGTGTGCTAAATGCACACACGATTAGCAACGGTTGCTGATCGGGTGAAGTATACCCACGTGATTAGCAATTGTTGCTGATCACGCATAGAAGGTAGTATTAGCAACAGTTGCTAAGAACAGAAGAAAAAGAGTGCAAAAAAATGAGAAGTGCAATGTGTGTTCGTGAGAGTTAAAAATTACATTTTCTCTCTTCCGGCGCCGTGACTGAAATATTGAGAGTGCAGAGAATTGTCGCCACGAGATTGCTAGCACAATTATAGTGGTGATTACCCGCAAGTTCTTTCTTCCGTTCGTCGCGCAATTGGTGGTGTGTCTGAACTAGAGGTCCGACGGTCGTGGGGCTTGAACTGAAGAACATCCGAACCGAAATCATTTTGGGCATGCTACGAAAGGTAATCCGTTTAACCCCCTGTGGTCTTCCGTTTTGTTTTTTTATTGAAACGCACAAATAATGCCTTTGGAGATACATGTATGGTTATATCTTTCCGCTGTGTTTATATTTAATTTTAACTATGCATGTTCCGTAGAAAACCAATAGTGGTATTAGAGCCAATCCTTAGGCGTTCTCGTGCGTTTAATTGATTTTGGTTTACATATATGTTTTGCGATCCAATGGCCAATTTACGTTTGTTGAGAGAATTGATTGCTCTTAAGTGGCCTATTAAAGTTGATTAATTTATATGATAAATTTGATTAACTGAGCAAAAGATTGGAAGTAAATCAATTTTTGAATAAAAAATCCGTAGCTTATTTTCTTTTGCATTTGTCTTCTGCAAAATGATTCGTGAATATGAATCTAGAGGCGACAACACTACCATCACTTGGAATCACACATGTGAAATTTGTTTCACCGGCTTTGATTTCTTGACGCGACTTACGTTGCTCGGCCATGAATTTGATTCAGTACAGA